TGTGGACAGATTCTCCCCCCTGAGCTGTGATCGCTGCAGCTCCTCCAGAGTTTCAATAGGCCTCTTGGCTGCTTCTCTGATGAATGCTTTCCTTGCCCGGCCTGTCAATTTCGGTGGACGGCCATGTCTTGGTAGGTTTGCAGTTGTGCCGTACTCTTTCTATTTTCGGATGATGGATTGAACACAGTGCTCCGTGAGATGGTCAAAGCTTGGGAGATTGCTTTATAACCTAACCCTGCTTTAAACCACTCCACAACTTTATCCCTGACCCGTCTGGTGTGTTTCTTGGCCTTCATGATGCTGTTTGTTCACTAATGTTCTCTAACAAACCTCTGAGAGCTTCACAGAACAGCTGGATTTATACTGAGATCACATGACACACAGGGGGACCTTAATTAGGTGACTTCTGAAGGCAATTGGTTCGACTAGATTTTAGTTAGGGGTATCAGATTAAAGGGGGCTGAATACAAATGCCGCCACACTTTTCAGATATTTATTTGTAAACAAATTTGAAAACCATTTCTCATTTTCCTTCCACTTCACAATTATGTGCCACTTTGTGTTGGTCCATCACATCCAATCCCAATAAAAATACATTGATGGATCTGGTTGTAACATGGCAACATGGGGGGGGGGGGGGCCGGAATACATTGTAACATGACAACATGGGGGACATTTCAGGGGGGTGGGAATACATTGTAACATGACAACATGGGGGACATTTCAGGGAGGTGGGAATACATTGTAACATGACAACATGGGGGACATTTCAGGGAGGTGGGAATACATTGTAACATGACAACATGGGGGACATTTCAGGGGGGTGGGAATACATTGTAACATGACAACATGGGGGACATTTCAGGGGGGTGGGAATACATTGTAACATGACAACATGGGGGACATTTCAAGGGGGAGGAAGACTTTTTCAAGGCTCTGTATGTGATGCAATAGTATGTCAACAAAGCATAAATGCACCAGCTTTTGACAGATCTGAAATCTGAGAATCACCCACGAGTCATGTACAGTCATGGCCAAAAATATTCCCCCCCCCCTTCCCCCTTCCCCCTAAGATAACGCACCACCTCACCCAAAAATTTGCTGCAATGACAAATGTTTCAGCATTCTCATGTTGATGTCTTTTGTTTGTAATGGTGACACAAAAAAAGGGGAGAGACAAAAGCCAAATCTGACCCATTCCATGCAAAACCCCAAAAATGAACTGGACAAAATTGTTGGCACTTTTTTCAAAATTGTAAGAAATAATTGCCTTCCAGGTTTGTGATGCTCCTGTAATTTGTCATTAAACTCCCCGTATCCATGACCAGGCACTGACAATATAGAAATCACACCAACAACCAGGTACAATGGTGACAAATGGCCTCCACCTTTCTGTTGGGTATCTCTGTGTGCCACATGGAGCATGGAGGAGAGGAAGAGCAGCAAAGAATTGTCTGAGGATTGGAAAACAAAAATGGTGAAAAAGCATGGACCATCTCAAGGTTATATCTCCAGAGATCCTAATGTTCCTGTGTCCACTGTGCAAAACATTGTCAAGAGGTTTACAGGCCGTGGGACTGTAGCTAATCTCCCTGGACGTGGACAAAAGAGAAAAATTGATCAAAGATTGCAACGGAAGATTGTTGGGATGGTGGCTAATGAACCTCGATCAACTTCCAGACAAATCCAAGCCGACCTTCAGGCACAGGGTACACGTGTGTCCGCTCGCAGTATGCGTCACAATCTGAATGAAGAGGGGCGCTATGGTAGGAGAATCAGGAGGACCCCACTGCTGACACAGAAATATGGTAGGAGACCCAGGAGGACCCCACTGCTGACACAGAAATATGGTAAGAGACCCAGGAGGACCCCACCGCTGACACAGAAATATGGTAGGAGACCCAGGAGGACCCCACTACTGATATAGAAATATGGTGGGAGACCCAGGAGGATCCCACTGCCGACACAGAAATATGGTAAGAGACCCAGGAAGACCCCACCGCTGACACTGAAATATGGTAAGAGACCCAGGAAGACCCCACTGCTGACACAGAAAATATGGGAGGAGACCCAGGAGGACCCCACCCTCTGACACAGAAATATGGGAGGAGACCCAGGAAGACCCCACCGCTGACACTGAAATATGGGAGGAGACCCAGGTGGACCCCACTGCCGACACAGAAATATGGTAGGAGACCCAGGAGGACCCCACTACTGATATAGAAATATGGTGGGAGACCCAGGAGGACCCCACTGCCGACACAGAAATATGGTAAGAGACCCAGGAAGACCCCACCGCTGACACTGAAATATGGTAAGAGACCCAGGAAGACCCCACTGCTGACACAGAAATATGGGAGGAGACCCAGGAAGACCCCACCGCTGACACTGAAATATGGGAGGAGACCCAGGAGGACCCCACTGCCGACACAGAAATATGGTAGGAGACCCAGGAGGACCCCACTACTGATATAGAAATATGGTGGGAGACCCAGGAGGACCCCACTGCCGACACAGAAATATGGTAAGAGACCCAGGAAGACCCCACCGCTGACACAGAAATAAGGTAGAAGACCCAGGAGGACCCCACCGCTGACACCGAAATATGGGAGGGAGACCCAGGAGGACCCCACTGCTGACACAGAAATATGGGAGGAGAGACCCTGGAGGACCCACTGCTGACACAGAAATATGGTAGGAGACCCAGGAGGACCCCACTGCTGACACAGAAATATGGTGTGAAACCCAGGAGGACCCCACTGCTGGTACAAAATAAGATAGGAGACCCCAGGAGGACCCCACTGCTGAAACTGATTGGAAGCCAGATTGAGTTTGCCAAAACTTACCTGAGGAAGCCAAAATCCTTTTGGGAAATGTTCTGGGGACAGACGGAACAAAATGACAGCTTTTTAGTAAAGCCCATCATTCTACTGTTTTCAGAAAAAGCAAAAAAGCCTTTAAAGCATAGATTCCAGTCCCTCCAGTCACACATGGTGGGGGGGGGGGGGTCACAGTCCCTCCAGTCACACATGGTGGGGGGGGGTTCACAGTCCCTCCAGTCACACATGGTGGGGGGTCACAGTCCCTACAGTCACACATGGTGGGGGGGGGGGGTCACAGTCCCTCCAGTCACACATGGAGGGGGGGGTCACAGTCCCTCCAGTCACACATGGTGGGGGGGGGGTCACAGTCCCTCCAGTCACACATGGTGGGGGGTCACAGTCCCTACAGTCACACATGGTGGGGAGGGGTCACAGTCCCTCCAGTCACACTCGCAGTCCCTCCAGTGGTGGGAGGGGGGTCACAGTCCCTCCAGTCACACATGGTGGGGGGGGGGTCACAGTCCCTCCAATCACACATGGTGGGGGGTCACTGATGTTTTGGGGTGGCTTTGCTGCTTCAGGCACTGGATGTCTTGGCCGTGTACATGGCATTATGAAATCTGAAGACTACCAAAGAATTCTGGGGTGCAATGTAGGGCCCGGGGTCAGAAAGTTGGGTCTCCAGTGTCAGAGGTCATGGGTCTTCCAGCAGGACAATGACCCCAAAGCACACGTCACAAAGCCCCCAGAAATGATGTCAGACAAAGCGCTGGAGAGGAGTGGACTGGCCAGCAATGAGTCCAGATCTCCATCCCATAGAGCTCCTGTGGAGAGATTTCCAGGGGGGAAAGGAACCTTCCAATCAGAGAGACCTGGAGCAGTTGGAGGAAGAAGAGCGATCCAAAATTCCATAGTATAAGTAAGGTACAAAGTGATTGCTTTTCAAGTAAGCAGCTGTACACTCAAGGCAACCAACAGAAATCAAAGCAAAAACAGATAGTGCAGCGCTAATAGTGATAAGAAATGAAGTAGAATAATCTGGATAGACCATGAATATTACCAAATAGACAGTAGGATAAAACTGATGCATATAAACAGGATAATATGCCAAAATAAGTGCAAATAATCAAAAGTAGAGTGACAAAATAATCTAATATAACAAATATATTCCAGTACTAAAAGTAGATATAAATATAAAAATGTCCGAAGATGTGACTAAATTTGTGAAAAAAAGTCCCCACAACTTCAAACCGGTGCGGAGGGAGACTGACAGTCGTCTTTAGCCTCTTCTATTCTCTAACAATTGCCCCAACAGTTGATATATTTTCACCAAGCTGCTTGGCAATTGCCCCGTAGCCTTTCCAGCCTTGTGGAGGTCCACAATTTTGTACCTGATGTCTTTTGACAGCTCTTTGGTCTTGCCCATGGTAGTAGTTGGCGTCTGACTGACTGTGGGGTGGACAGGTGTCTTTAAAGAGCTCAGACAGGGGCTACTAAGTGAGATGAATGAGTGGAGTAGAGGGGGACTTTATAAAGGCGCAGTAACAGGTCTTTGGGAGCCAGAATTCTTGCTGTTTCTTAGGGGTTCAAATACTTCTGTTCAGCCGTCCGTTGCGATACAAATACATTCTTTACAAATCATACAATGTGATCTCCTGAATTCTGTCCTCAGAGTGGGAATCCCCTGCAATGTGATCTCCTGAATTCTGTCCTCAGAGTGGGAATCCCCTGCAATGTGATCTCCTGAATTCTGTCCTCAGAGTGGGAATCCCCTGCAATGTGAATGTCAGACCCTCCATGATGGAGAAGTGGGACAACTTGCAGAATCGCAGGGGGTTCAAATACTTCTGTTTCTCACTGTATACTGTAAATGCCCAGCTGTTCTAAAAATAATAGATGCTTGTGGCACTGACCTCTGGAAGTCCTCCCCACTGCTAGTCCTCATTTGGGTAAAATGACAACCAGCATCAATAAACCCATTTCCTACAGTCATGGACAAAAATCTTGTGCCCCCCCTACCCCCCTCTGGCATTTCTGTCAGATAACGCCCCAATCACCCTGGAAATTGTTGCAATTGCAAATGTTTCAGCATTCTCATGTTTATTTCTTTGGTTTGTATTGGTGACACAAAATGTAACTTTGTTGTTCTGTTGTAACATTAAGTTCTTTTATTTGTAGATTTAAATGCAGATGATTCAACAGTTACGTCATTCACATTGATGGGAAGAAGCGTCTGAAATGTATGGATTACTGGCGTGTTCAGGAATCCGTGGGTCAAGTGGTACGATGAGCAGAAGACGGATCTGTCCCAACATGGAACACGTAATGTAACTGACATCAGTAATGGCCGGAAGAAGGTGGAGTCCGTGCTGAACATGGATGTGGAAACAAATAAAGCAGTACTTCTGTGTGGTGTGGGAAGAGGGGAGACTGAAGAGGACCGCCCGAGCTGTGATATCAGGTATTATTATTATTATTATACAGTATTTATAAAGCGCCGATAGTTCGCTCAGCGCTGTACATTATAAAGGGGGACAGAACATGTGACAGAACAATACCAATACAATGTGATACATGAGGGGATCGAGGGCCCTGATCCTAGGAGCTTACAATCTAGAAGGGAGGGGTGGACACCAATGGTGGCACAGGAGGAGATAAGCTGTGGGGGATGGGGTGGTAGGAAGAGTGGAGGAGGTCGGCAGGGCTATTAGCAGGGGGTGGGGTAGGGCTTCCCTGAAGAGATGGGTTTTCAGGGTGCGTCTAAAGAAGAGGAGAGTAGGTGATAATCTGATGGATTTAGGGTAGGGGAGTTCCAGAGGATGGGTGACACCTCTGGAGAAGTCCTGGAGGTGAGGGGGCATGGGAGGGAGGAGACCAGGGAACTAGAGCGAAGGAGGTCTTGTGAGGAGCGGAGCAAGTGTGCGTGTTGGGCGGTCCTATTATGGGTACTTGGATATTAGGTCAGTGATGTAGTTCGGGGCAGTATGGTGGACGGCTTTGTACGTCAGTATTAGGATTTTGAATTTGATCCGTTGCGCAATCGGAAGCCAGTGGAGGGATTGGCAGAGGGGGGTGGAGGACACTGAGTGGAGGGATTGGCAGAGGGGGGGGAGGTGGAGGACACTGAGTGGAGGGATTGGCAGAGGGGGGTGGAGCCAGTGGAGGGATTGGCAGAGGGGGGTGGAGGACACTGAATGGAGGCCAGTGGAGGGATTGGCAGAGGGGGGTGGCGGACACGTGGGAGATGGAGCGGTTGGAAAGGTGAATGAGTCTGGCAGCCGTATTCAGGATGGACTGAAAGCGGGGATAGCCAGCGGCGAGGCAGGCCAGTGAGGAGGGAGTTGCAGGTAGTTGTGATATGAGAGGGAGTGGATTGAGGCTTTACTGAGTGGAGGGATTAGGAAAGTGCAGAGGGGGATATGATCAAACCAGGTGGAGGGATTGGCAACTACATAGGGGGTATGGCGGAAACGGTAGTAAGGTACAGTAAGGAGGGATATGAACTCAAGATGGGGGGTGGAGGACAACAGAGTTATAATATAAGGGGGGGGATCGGAGGACAACTGATAGGCCATGTGGGGATAGGATTAATGGCGTATAATGGAGGGGTTTGGAAAGGTGAATGAGTCTGGGCAATGTATTAGGATGGACATAAGCGGGGGATATGCCAATCGGGCGAGGCATGTATATACAGGAGGGGGGATATGTAGTCTCCATGTATAATAATAAGGGGGGGATGATCTCTGCTTACTAAGTGGGGTTTCTGGGTATAGGAACATACAGATAAGGGGGATATGATCTCCATGTATAATACATAAGGGGGGATATGATCTCCATGTATAATACATAAGGGGGGATATGATCTTACATGTATAATACATAAGGGGGATATGATCTCCATGTATAATACATAAGGGGGGATATGATCTCCATGTGTATAATACATAAGGGGGGATATGATCTCATGGATAATACATAATAGGGGGGTATGATCTCCATGTATAATACATAAGGGGGGATATGATCTCCATGTATAATACATAAGGGGGGATATGATCTCCATGTATAATACATAAGGGGGGGATATGATCTCCATGTATAATACATAAGGGGGGATATGATCTCCATGTATAATACATAAGGGGGGATATGATCTCCATGTATAATACATAAGGGGGATTCTAATACATAAGGGGGGGGGGATATGATCTCCATGTATAATACATATAGGGGGGGGGATATGATCTCCATGTATAATACATAAGGGGGGATATGATCTCCATGTATAATACATAAGGGGGATATGATCTCCATGTATAATACATAAGGGGGATATGATCTCCATGTATAATACATAAGGGGGGATATGATCTCCATGTATAATACATAAGGGGGGATATGATCTCCATGTATAATACATAAGGGGGGATATGATCTCCATGTATAATACATAAGGGGGGATATGATCTCCATGTATAATACATAAGGGGGGATCTCCATGTATATGATATGATCTCCATGTATAATACATGATCTCCATGTATAATACATAAGGGGGGGGATATGATCTCCATGTATAATACATAAGGGGGGGATATGATCTCCATGTATAATACATAAGGGGGGATATGATCTCCATGTATAATACATAAGGGGGGATATGATCTCCATGTATAATACATAAGGGGGGATATGATCTCCATGTATAATACATAAGGGGGGATATGATCTCCATGTATAATACATAAGGGGGATATGATCTCCATGTATAATACATAAGGGGGGATATGATCTCCATGTATAATACATAAGGGGGGATATGATCTCCATGTATAATACATAAGGGGGGATATGATCTCCATGTATAATACATAAGGGGGGGATATGATCTCCATGTATAATACATAAGGGGGGGATATGATCTCCATGTATATAATACATAAGGGGGGGGATATGATCTCCATGTATAATACATAAGGGGGGGGGGATATGATCTCCATGTATAATACATAAGGGGGGATATGATCTCCATGTATAATACATAAGGGGGGATATGATCTCCATGTATAATACATAAGGGGGGATATATGATCTCCATGTATAATACATAAGGGGGGATATGATCTCCATGTATAATACATAAGGGGGGGATATGATCCATGTATAATACATAAGGGGGGGGGATATGATCTCCATGTATAATACATAAGGGGGGATATGATCTCCATGTATAATACATAAGGGGGGGGATATGATCTCCATGTATAAATACATAAGGGGGGGGATATGATCTCCATGTATAATACATAAGGGGGGATATGATCTCCATGTATAATACATAAGGGGGATATGATCTCCATGTATAATACATAAGGGGGGATATGATCTCCATGTATGTATACATAAGGGGGGGGATATGATCTCTGTGTATAATACATAAGGGGGATTATGATCTCCATGTATAATACATAAGGGGGGATATGATCTCCTCCATGTATAATACATAAGGGGGGATATATGATCTCCATGTATAATACATAAGGGGGGATATGATGATCTCCATGTATAATACAAGGGGGGATATGATCTCCATGTATAATACATAAGGGGGGGATATGATCTCCATGTATAATACATAAGGGGGGATATGATCTCCATGTATGTATAATACATAAGGGGGGATATGATCTCCATGTATAATACATAAGGGGGGATATGATCTCCATGTATAATACATAAGGGGGGGGATATGATCTCCATGTATAATATACATAAGGGGGGGATATGATCTCATGTATAATACATAAGGGGGGATATGATCTCCATGTATAATACATAAGGGGGGATATGATCTCCATGTATAATACATAAGGGGGGATATGATCTCCATGTATAATACATAAGGGGGGATATAGGGGGGATATGATCTCCATGTATAATACATAAGGGGGGATATGATCTCCATGTATAATACATAAGGGGGGATATGATCTCCATGTATAATACATAAGGGGGGATATGATCTCCATGTATAATACATAAGGGGGGGATATGATCTCCATGTATAATACATAAGGGGGGGATATGATCTCCATGTATAATACATAAGGGGGGGATATGATCTCCATGTATAATACATATATGGGGGGGGGATATGATCTCCATGTATAATACATAAGGGGGGATATGATCTCCATGTATAATACATAAGGGGGGGGATATGATCTCCATGTATAATACATAAGGGGGGGGATATGATCTCTCCATGTATAATACATAAGGGGGGGATATGATCTCCATGTATAATACATAAGGGGGGATATGATCTCCATGTATATACATACATAAGGGGGGGATATGATCTCCATGTATAATACATAAGGGGGGATATGATCTCCATGTATAATACATAAGGGGGGGATATGATCTCCATGTATAATACATAAGGGGGGATATGATCTCCATGTATAATACATAATAAGGGGGGATATGATCTCCATGTATAATATAATACATAAGGGGGGATATGATCTCCATGTATATATACATAAGGGGGGATATGATCTCCATGTATAATACATAAGGGGGGATATGATCTCCATGTATAATAATAATAATAAGGGGGGATGATCTGTCTCCATGTATAATACATAAGGGGGGGATATGATCTCCATGTATAATACATAAGGGGGATATGATCTCCATGTATAATACATAAGGGGGATATGATCTCCATGTATAATACATAAGGGGGATATATGATCTCCATGTATAATACATAAGGGGGGGGGATGATGATCTCCATGTATAATACATAAGGGGGGATATGATCTCCATGTATAATATATAAGGGGGGATATGATCTCCATGTATAATACATAAGGGGGGGATATGATGATCTCCATGTATAATAATATGGGGGGGATATGATCTCCATGTATAATACATAAGGGGGGGATATGATCTCCATGTATATATACATAAGGGGGGGATATGATCTCCATGTATAATACATAAGGGGGGATATGATCTCATGTATAATACATAAGGGGGGGGGATATGATCTCCATGTATATAATACATAAGGGGGGATATGATCTCCATGTATATAATACATAAGGGGGGATATATGATCTCCATGTATAATACATAAGGGGGGATATGATCTCCATGTATAATACATAAGGGGGGGATATGATCTCCATGTATAATACATAAGGGGGGGGATATGATCTCCATGTATAATACATAAGGGGGGGGATATGATCTCCATGTATAATACATAAGGGGGGATATGATCTCCATGTATAATACATAAGGGGGGGATATGATCTCCATGTATAATACATAAGGGGGGGGATATGATCTCCATGTATAATACATAAAGGGGGGATATGATCTCCATGTATAATACATAAGGGGGGGGGATATGATCTCCATGTATAATACATAAGGGGGGATAT